CCCCAAAACCCCAAAACCCCTTAAGTTCAAATTTAAACAAATCATTCAAAATTAAATTATCCAATTATAATAAATTTGAATTTAAAATAGTTCAAGTAAATGAGTGGTATATTTTTGAATCTAGGCATACCTGCAACTCCTGACACAAATAAGTATCAAATATAAGTATATTACAATTTTAGGAGTTTACAGTCATACTTTAAAGAAGATCACTTAGAGGAATAAGTAGAGATGAAATTTATAAGAATATGTTCTGACGGATAAGCAGTCCAAAATTTATCTCAATCCGATTTGAAAATCGAAGAATTCGGAGAAGGCATAATAATGTCAGTTGAACTTTCTATGATCTTGGAAAATCGAGAAATTCTTGATAAATATATAGAGAGAATTATAAGTACAAATAATATTCAGGAATTGGATAAGAGTAGCAAAGAGCTCTACTTCAATTAGTTATGTTTGAATAAGGAAAATCTGGCAGTAATCGATGAATTTCTAAGCAAGCAAGATCAGGATTCATAAGATAAGACTTTATTCTAGCAAGCTTTAAAGTCTGTTGAGTATATCAAGAATATGGCTGATGGTCTTAATTAGCTTATTTAAATGAAGGACTAAACCATAAAGTAAGTCAAATTTTCTATTCCTAGTGTAAATTTTTGATTGATTATTAGTAATCTTGAATCTGAGATAAACAAGATTAAAGCGAGGCAAGAAGGTTTTGACAGCACTACTATTCTTAGTCAATTTGATGAAAGTATTGATAAGCTCCAGCAGATGGAACTTCATGAAGCACTTTAAACTCACTACAATGGAGAAAAAAAGAAACTGATAGATGTTTACTATGATCCCAGTAAACTCATTAAATGGAAAGAAACTTGTGTCAAGAGCTATAATGGGCTCTGCAAAAAGATTGATAATATTCTACAGCAGATTAAAATTTACAAGGAGCAATACTTGCCAATAAATTAGCTAGCAGAAGATATGATCAAGTAAGTAATCGATTCATTCGCTAAATTTTAATAGAGTTGAGAATCTAATTCAAACATTAATTTAAAAAATAAAAACTATCTTATCAAACGAGCCTGACTAAAATCTTGAGAGTGCAATCACAGACATTAAATAGGCATTTTCAGCTAATGTCAACATTATTTGTATTGCAGTACAAGAATATGCAGTATATCTTGAGAGTAGAGAGCCATTTGATAAAGTGATTGTAAAGACTAGTCAACTTTTAGAAAAAAACATTAATGACTTTCTAAGTTTAAAAAAACCTAAGGATTTCCTAGAATCATACCCTTAGATTTTGAGAGAAATAAATAGAAGAAATGCATTTAATACCTTTCTATTCAAACAGCTTTAAGATAATAAGCACATCAAAGAACTTAATTAAGTGATAGAAGAGGAAAAGCTCAAGAGAAAAGATTTTATGTTCTAAAATGGTGCTACAATCCCACCTGAATTCATTCCATAACTGTCTCTTAAACCATAGGTGATTGGAAATCTATTAAACTAGGAAGAGCAGAAATTACCAAAGGTATTTGATTGGATTCCAGAAAACTTTATCTCTTCAGCCTCAGACTATTTCTATGCTATTTCTAACTTTGAGTAGATTCATGACAATATACCTGAAAAACTTAAGAAATCAGGTGATGATGACTCCTAGTCATCTCTTGAAGCTAAATCTCTAAAAAAGTCAAGCACTACCTAGTCTTTAAAGAATACCCAAAAGTTTAGTGACTCAAAGGAATCTCAAAACTCTTAAGATAATGATGCTTCCTATAAGAAGAAATATAAAGTAATGAAATAAAAACTAAGAGAAAAGAATGCTAAACTTAAGAAAAGTCTAGCATCAAGCAATAAAACTAATTCAGCTTTACAAGAATAAATGAAAGAGTTAACATTATTATGTGAAAGTAAAGCTAGTTAGGACAACTAAGATAGTGAATTATAAGCAGATAATAGCAGCTAAAGTGAAAAGGTAACTAAGCTGCATTAGCTTATGTCAAAGATATGCTAGACTCACTTCCAACTTATTCAAGATTTAAAGTCATAAAATGCAGGCAGTAAGAAAAGTTAACAGCTTGTTCATCAGCTTCAATAAATGAATTAAAAATACTCAGATCTTGAATCTGAAAATAAGAGATTGCAGAGTGATATGGAATAGTACCTCGAAAAATAAAGATCAAGTTCAGATATAACTAGAAAAGATCACCTGAACTATATTGATTAGATCCACAAAATATACAAAGCAGAATAGGAAAAACAAGAATTGGAAAAGAATGATCTTATTGCTAACTTCAAGATTTGCCAAGATAACTTGGAGAAGCATAAGCAGTAAATTAGAGTAATTGATGATAAACTTCATAATGAAAAGCAATAAAGAATTGAGGCTCTCAATGAACTCTAGTACAAGTGCATTGAATTAGATAGAGCTAGGGATGAATTTTCTTAAAAGTTGAGGGATTGCAAAAAATACTATGAAGATAAAATTTGTAATCTTTAGAAGGATTTGATTGAGAAGGATTCTGAAATAGATTTGTACACTTAGAAAGCCCAAGAGCATTAGGGCAAGATCAGAGACATTCAGAAAAACTTTGAAGAGTAAACTAAAGGTTTCTAGAAAAAACTTGAGGAAAAAAAGCAAGAATATGATCGTCTAAAGTAATAAGTAGAAAGATAGATGAAAGATTATATAGACAAAGAGAAAGAATTCAATAGAGTAATTAAAGATGGATAGCAACTGGAGAATCAGAATTTTGAAATGAAAAATAAGGTTGAGTAGCTTCAGAAGCAATTAGAGACAGCCAAGTGCTAAATTTAGAATGCCAATATAACTAAGGAGAATATTTAAAAGTAAATGGATGCCAAATAAGATGAGATTCGCTAGCTATAGCAAAGAGAGGCTCAGAATGAAGTCTAATTATAAAAATTAAGCTCTGAGAATCAAAACCTGTCGCAACGATTAAATCAGATTAGTTCAAAGGTGCAAGATATGGATAAAGGCTTTGGTTTGAAACTTGAATAGATAAAAATGGAAAAGCAAAGCCAGGTAGATAGTTTAAATTAAAAGCTACAGGAACAAGAAAATGAATTAGCCAATATCTTATAAGATAACTCAAAGCTCCTTCAAAAGATTACTATGCTTGAAGAGTCAAAGCCAGAACAAGAAAAGATATTAGTGGAAACATTGGATTAAGAGTTAGAATGCGAAATAGAAGATCCTTAGATTTAGCAAAGTTTATTAAAGGCTTAGGAACTAGGATAACAATTATAGCTCTTCAAAGTTCAAAGTTAAAGGGAAAAGGAAGAGTTGATTGAATAGTTGGAGTAGCGAGGATAGTTAATGCTTAAGCAATTTATAAGTCTTGATAGACTAGAGCCAGGCTTGACTGTGATATTTATGCCATTCTAGCCTGGTGTTTATATCTGCTTGAACACTAATTCCGAAAGTGATAGAGAGCAAACGATGTCTGTCTAATCGATGACTAACACAAATTCAACTAGCAGACAAATAAGCAAAAAGAACTCAGAGTGGAGGTATATGCTTGACTTAGAATCCTTAGACAGAAAAGCTCAATAAATTTTAAAGTAAATCTTATTGCATATATAATATCGTAATATAGGAATTATGAGATGATAGTAGTTGGCCAGTTAATTGACACCTACAAAGGTTAGTTTGATTTGGGTGAAATTGTCCAGGATGAAAATGAGGACGATGTTAACTAGGAGAGCGAGTTAATTGACATTGAATATTGCAAAGTCAAAATAAGTAAGCTTATAGCTATTCAGCATATGGAGATTGCAACTTACAGCTACAATGACTGAAACCTGACACCTAAAAATAATAAAATGAAATTTAAACTAAACTTTATTTCATCAATCATCAAGAATTGTTCAACTTGGGGTTTTGGGGTTTTGGGGTTTTGGGGTTTTGGGG